TAGATGGGAGGGGGACAAGGAGTGGCTTTTGGCTGGACTTTTCCATGTTGGCCACAAACTGAACCAATCTTCTCCTTCAAGAGAGGCTGTATTTTGGGAGGATGCCAGTGAGTCAAGAGACCTGCTTCAGCTGGGAAAAGACAGAAGTGGAGTGAACAGAGAAAAAGTTAGGGGGTTTGTGGTGGTGCCCCCTTGTCCTCAAAAGAAGGAGAAGAGAAGATCTCTGTTCTTGGACTCTCGGCCCCAGGGGAAAATGGGAAAAAATGGGGGGGACTGTGGTCCCAAACAATGAAAAAACTGAACTGTTGTTTTCTCCCCTCTTGGCAGGGCATCCTTGAAAGGAAAAATCCTAAAAGCAGTCTGTCCATCCATGCATTGGTGCAGAGAGCACTGTGCATGGAAAGGAGAAGGGTCACCGTGGCAAACTTTTTCTCCAGGTGGTGCCATGTGTAACATGGAAACACAGGATCTGGAGCTGTGTTTTCTTGGGGGGTCTGTGGCACAGGAGAGACTCTGTTCCCTCGATGGACTGAGTGTCGATTGTGTGGAGGGTGGAAACCTGATTGGGGTCCAGATTGTGTCTCACTGTGGTTTGTTGGAGCTGGGTGGTGAGAGGAGGAATGCTTTTGCAAGGTTTCCATTTTGATCTTTGTGTATTTTTTTTTTTTCTTTTTTCCTTTCTTTCTTTCTTTTGTAGTAGTAGCTTAATAAAGATTTTTCTGTTATTAAGCTTGAGCCTGCTTTGCTCTGTTCTTGATTCCACTCCACAGCATTCAAGGGAGAGATTACATTTTCATGGGGGCACTGGCATTGGGCCAGTGTCAAACCATGACAGATATCAAGATAAACGTAGACCTCAAGAGCCTTTTAATCAATGATAAGTTGCATATTCCCTTTCTATATTCTTAAGAATCCACTTTATTTTAGAAAAAAGAAAAAGGTGGGATGAAGAAGAAATTCTGAAGTCCTCTATGAAAGTCTAGCCGCATTTTGCTTCCAGATAAATATTATTTGTCAGAATTTTGCTCTCCAACTTTATCTTGAGGTTTTTTTCAATTTAATAGTAATATTACCTTTATATTCTTATCCCCTGTATGGAATCTATCTACTGCTAGGAATCTACAGGACTGTTTCTGTAGTAAACTTCTGACTAATCAAAGGCACAGAAAAATTAAAGGAGAGTTAGAGCTCCTTGAACACATAAGTGTGCCTGCAGCTGAAAGAAAAATGTTGGATCAGCTGGCTGTTCAAACTAAAGTAAGTTAGCCAGATCAGAACCTTAACAGAAGAATTTTTAAAACCCTAAAAAGAACATTAGCATAAGGAGAAGATCATAACCCCAGCTTTATTGTGCATCAGTGAGCTAAAGACAACATCATGTAACACGTGGACACTCCTCAACTCTTTCAAATAGTTAGGAGTACAAAACCCAGGAAATAAGGGAATGCAAATAGCACTCTATTCTCAAGATGGCCTGTCTAATCATCACAAAACTGGGAGAGTAGTGAAGTTATCAGACCCTGAGTGAGAAAAGTTAAATCTCTTACTGAAAGCAGGCAACAGCTCATGGGTTAATACTAATTGGAAAGGGTGGTGAATCCAGGAGAGATCATATTTCCCCATACAAAAATACTTGACACCAGACAAAGAATTTGTTCCCTCTCCAGATATCCTTCTTCATTATTATATGGAATTACTTTCAGAGTGATTCAGAGGTTGACACACTGTGAATCCTCAGCCTTGAGAACAGTCTCACAACAACCTTCCATTCAAGACAAAAAAAGATTCCTAAATTATTCATGTTTTTAACAGAAATGAGTGTGCAGTGGTTTGGAAATTACCTCTCAGTAAAATACCTGATTTCTCACAAGACAAGATCATGATTTTCCTAGAAGTATGGAACATGCAAGGTTATTGTCATATGCAACTTTGTATAAAAAAATTTTACTGCAGGTTTTTTATCGCACTGTAAGAGCTGTAGATCCTATTATCAGACCAAAGATTTCTCTCATTCTAATTGTATGAATAAGAAGATTTCTTAAAGAAACCTCCAAAAGTTGGTTCTTGTGGTTTTCTTTAGGGAAAGGGAGAAAGGGAAAGTAATCTGTAATGAAATCAGGTTTTTTAGCTTACAGATTAATTAGGGTTTCTTATAAAATATTTAAATTTTTACCTGTTATGAAAAATCCCCTGCTGCTGTGTCCCAGCTGCATGATCAGTTAGCAAAGCATGCATTTACCATCTGCCTTCTATGCTGACAAGGTCAGTACTATAGGTCATTTACTACTGAAGTTCATTTCCTAAGTTGCAGAGAAAAGTTGTAGACAAGGCCATTTTAAGCATACACTCAACAGCTCACATTGTAGTCTGGGGCTAAGAAAGCACTTCTCAAAACAGCTCATCATCAAAACAATGCCATATTAACTGAATCGCTGCGCGTTAAAACACATACCAGAAGCATTAACTATTAATTAATAGAAAAATCCCTTTGTTAAATTCCTGACCATACTAGTTTGGCTTTATTATTTTCTTCCCCTATTATCAGAGCAAGAGGACAGACTATACAGGGAGGTGAACAGACCTTTCTTGGCAAGACAAAACAAATAATGTGTTCCTTTGACACTTCCCAGACTTTCCCCATTTCCATGACACTGTCTCTTTGTTCATTATCTTTTTATTTTCTCTCCACTACAGGAAAAGGAAATAAATTTCAGGTCCTTCAAGAGTGTATTTATCTGAAACCTTAATGAGCAAGGAAAGAAATTTTTGCCTCCATTACAGTACTTTACAGCTCTTTCCTGTGTTGAATTTCACTGCTATTCCAGTGAGAAGTTATGGATAGAAATCACTCACACAGTGCAGAGTGATTGTAGTTATGTGTTAGAAACTTTAAAATGTTTTAAAATTAATTAAGAATGCAGATTCACAAATTAAAATAATTAAAAGAATTCAACATATGCCATTGGGCACAATATAATAATGGTGATAACAAAACATATATGGTAATAATATATAACATAATATATTGAATATATTTCAACAACTCTAGCAGAATAGTTGAAGGAGGACAATTAATATTTCACTTGAATGTCACAGTTTGGGGGGTTTGGGGTTATTTTTCTGTCTTCTGGGGTGAGTGAGTGTGCAAGTGTGAGTGTGGTTGGTTGGTTAATTGGTTGGTTGGGTTTTTTGTCCAGAACCAAATCAAAATAAAATTCTGTTCTAGGAGATTTAGGATTTTTCATGCTGTTCTGCGTAATTTTTATGGGACAGAAATTAATAATGATAAAAAAAGTGTTAGGAACATCTCAGAAAGGGTGGCAATGAAAATGTGTGGCATCATTTCTGCTCTCAAGTTACAAAACGTCTATGAGGTTTTCAAAGCCATCTTTGAAAACAAGCACAAAAAAAAAAAAAGGACTGCCTAGTACAATGAAACCCTGAGGAGGTAATGAAATGTCTTTTCAAGAGCTTGAGATAACCACTGAGATCCTGTACATGAAAAAAATTCACAATGTCCAAGTTTACACTGGGATTTTAGTGTAAGCATTACATTATCTTAAGAACTGCAAAACCTTCATACTGTTGTCTTTACAATTAGTGATTCGTGTTCAGCCAAGAGCCTCTGCAGCAAGCAAAGAGAACTAAAACAAATAAGAGAATGTTTGTTACAGTATTAATACAATACAGAATTATAGTAAACAATTGAGATCTCTAGCAAATTATGTTTCTCTCTGAGGAAGATGGCAATGTTTAGCCTGGTTGAAAGGGGATGATGGGAGCAAAGGAAATGGCTTCAAATTTTACCATGGGAGGTTTACTTTAGATAAAAGGAAAAAAATGCACCCCAAGGAAGTCAGGTCTTGGAAGAGGATGCTTAGGGAAATGGTGGTGTCACTATCCCTGGAAATGTTCAAAAAACCTGTGGATGTGGCTTCTGGGAACACATTTTAGCAGTGAACATGTCAATGGTTAAGTTAGTGGTTGAAGTCAATGAACTTAGGGCTCTTTCCCAATCTTAATGATTCTATAATTCCATGAAATATCTTTAGATCAAGTCTGCATTTGAAATAAGATGACGACAGACTTTTTCTCTACTTTTAACCCCAAATAATCAAAAGTAAACTTTCCTTACTTCCCATATTTCAGAAATGTTAATATGAAGAGTTTTCTAGTGTAAAACACTAGCACATGATTTATTAAAAATTCTGTAAATATCTAGGTACAGATATTTTATTTACATTTGCATGCACATTTACATGATTTATATAATCATTTACATTTTCTGGTTGGCTAAATATAACTAATTTTTATGTAATTATATCTAAATTTCCTTTGCTTTACTTAGGTTTGAGATGTGGCCACCACGTTTCTTCCTATTGTACAAGAATAAATTCATTTAAGAATCAATGTTTTGTAAGAAAACAGAATTAAAAACTATAATCAGAACTTCAATAATAAAAAAATATCTTGAGAAAAGCCATAAGAGTAGAATTTTATTTCAATTTATAGCTAGTTTTGAAGTTCAGTTGCCAAAAGAAAAAAGGTACTTAATAACTATCTGAAATTATTCCAGTTAAAAGCCACAGTAAAGAAATTGAAAATGTGAGAGGAAGGTAGTCTGATATTTTGTAACTATTTAAGATCTACCTTTTTAACATTAATCTTAGTGCTTGCTCACATTTCTGAATGGAAGCATATATTACAATGTTTTGGGGTTTTTCATCTTAAATTCATCATATTGGTTGGGACAGAGGGAGTGGAAAAGTCCAAAAGTATACAGCTTTAATGTGAACATAGCAAACTCTGCTGTGAACTACTAGTATTGAAATTATCAGAACTGAATACCACTAATGCACACCATAGCTGATGAAATTTCTTCCTCATTACTCATGCTGTAGCTCAGCTGGGGCCAATATTTTCCTCTTTCTCCAACTTTAGCTTAATCAGCATTTCAGATGATGTTTTTGATGCCGATACTACCCTTGCAATTTCCAACCACTTCATCAGAAGATTCAGAGCTGGATCCCTAAACACAAAAGTAAATATTTAATCAATTTCCAATTAATTAATGAGGAAAATCTCATTGTTATGTCATTAGTTGCAATAAGATTTCTTCATTTGATATGGAAAACTAAACTTCAAACTGTAAGACACCAGAAAATCTGTTTCCTTTCAGTCCTTAATTTTCTCTTTATTTAAATGATGTAATTATTTCTGCATGTATATAAAAAAATTTCAACATGTTGTCTAAACTGGGATTAGAGCATGCACCATGCAAATTCTTCACAGTATATTATAAGTTAGCTCCTCAATGAGCAATCTTTTATTATCTTATTCAAACCTGGTTTAGTTTTTATTTTCCTGTAACTCTTATTTTTGAATATTACTTTGTACATTTGACAAAAAAAAATGTAGCTTATATCTAAGGAATTCAAGTAGTGTCATTTTTTCCTAGCTTAGCCATCTTTCAAATCATTAAAGTTATTTAAAATAAGGAACAGGATTAATTATATACATCAGACCTTTCTCCAATACTTTCACACATAAACCAAGACCACTTAAAGATACCACTGCAGATTAAATCTCCTTTGGCTTCAGATCCTGGTGAGAATATTTTCCTGGCCAGATAGCTCTTTACTGTGATTTAAATGCAGGAATACATGCAAATGGAATAGAGCTCTTAAAAAATAACCTCAAAGAAAATTAATTCTCTCCAACATAATTTTAAAGGATATTTAGAATGTCTGAACAGGTAGAGCTGAAGATGCAAAAGCTTTCAAAGTAAACAGGCTGTTTCTGTCTCCTCATCTGGAACCATCAACTTCAGAAAGAGTATTAATAAATTAATTTCACAAAGAGTTATAAGAATGTGAATATTAAGTTAAAATATTTTTAAACTATTTTCTTAAGAATACAGAAATTAAATGCAAAAGCTAAGGCTAGAACATATGACATCACAGAAATTGTATATAAATTATGAAGGAGGTTGCTTATTTGTAAATATTTGCTTCAGTCCCTGCATATTCAGCTTGTCAGAATTGATGTGAGGGTAAATTACTCTCTTACATTTTCCTTTGTTTTTTTTCTAGTCACAAGAAGTCAAGATGCCTTCACGTAAAAAAAAATATACTGCCTCAGAGGCTCTCAAAAAGCTGTTGCTACTCAGTGTGTAGAAGTTTAGAAGAAAAATTTCTTCAGAGACAGTATTATTTCTACCATCTTCTATACTACCACTGTATTCACATATTTTACATAGGAAAATAAACAAGCAGGGAAAGAAAAGTTCTCATGATTTCTCCTAATTTAAAGATCTCTATCTAGTCCAATGTGTTTCTTTCTTTAGCTGGTTCTTGAGTACAGATTCATTCCACTCTTACTCAACATTTTCTGTTTGTTTACTTGTTAATATAATTTTAAAATAATAAATATGTTGATTAATTCTTAATATTTTCTTAATATTTGTTGATCCTTATAGCCATAAAAGTCAATATTGGTCCATTATCAGTGTCAGAAAGGAAGGAATGGTGAGAAGAAAAGTTCTTACTTCCATGGATAAATTAATGAAAAGGCAGTAAATGCAGAACAAATATATGAATGACAATATGTTTGGAATATATACTGAGAAAATTTGAAGATCTTAAAATTAATCAAATAAATTTAAAAAATTCAGTCTTTTCAGATAAAGACTCTATACGTTTCACAGAAAAGAAACATACAAATTTCAGCATCAAATCTTCCTATACAAATGTATACTTTGGTGTAATGAAAGCAGAATAAGACTAACAAGGGAATATATTATATCTTTTCATACTTCCTGCATATTGATAATCAAATAATTATTAAATAATTTTTAAAAATTAAATCTATTTTCTTTCTTCTCAGTTTTAGCAAATTCAACAAATATTTCAGTGATCTGCTGCTTACATATTTCACTCCAAAAAAAATTTTGAATACCTTAGGTTTTTGAAGACGAGATTGGCTGCTGACATATAGCTTGAACCACAAGCACAATATTGATGACTTCTTAATTTCTTCTTTCATCCTCAGGAAGTAGAGAGGTTAGAGCTCAGAAGTCCCCCTACCTACAGTTTAGTACAACACCTTGACAGCTTTTGTGGTTGAGTTAAGGTTCACACAGAAAGCTTCACACAGAAAGCAATCCAATGATCCATTCCATCCACTCCTTGGGGTTATCTGAATCCTCAATCTCTGACCCTTTGAACAAGTTTTCTCCACCTTCTTTCTGCCATTGCCATGCTCATCTGCATGGATGTTAGTTAAGAAGTTAAACTATTAGAAAATTAACCCTGTGTAAACCACTAAGACATTCAATGCCAGTTTATCTACCAAAAATATCCTGACTGAGCACCAGTGGCTCCACAAAGAAAGCACTGGGAATGTGCAGCTGTGTCCAGGGGCACATGAACCTGTACCATGTGCAAGACTGTTATTGAGGAGATTGTATTACATGTGGGATCAAAAAAGGAGTTGTACAGTTGAGCCAAAGCTCACATTTCACTGAAATGAAGATCCTGAAAATGGCCAGACACCTTAGACTAGAAGGAAGCAATTTCTGTAACAATTCATCCTTTCTTAACAGCTAGGATTAATCTTTTGAAGCATGTTTTTATGTCAGAAATTTAAAATTCACAGCACAAGAATACTCTCTTATTCAAATTTTTAGGTAAATTCGTAACCAGTCTGTAATTTATGAAGACATGACTGCATTGTCTTATTTCTTGTGTTTAATGCATGCATCCTTCATAAAGAAGTTGCTATTTTAGAGTATGAAGTACACTAAATAAAAGGAGAAAAATGTATTAATCATTGCTGCTCTTCCCTCCTTCCCCACTGCTCTAGTAATTCTAAAGGCTTATCTCTGCTCCATTGCACTGGTTGAGGTACCCACTGCATTTAAAGACTACAATGAGTCCACTTCTAAAAGCAGTGATGTGTTAATGGAAGTAAAGCTATGACATCTTCCACATGATCTTGCTTATAAGTTCGATTTCAATTTTAAACCTCCCTCATCTTAAGCCAGAACATCTCAAACTAATAAGGTAAAAAATATTAAAAATGAGGCAACAGCAGTTCCCTCATATTTTTGCTTTTATTAAAAATGAATCTATTTAAAATATATGTAAAATATATTTTAAAATAGTGTTAAGTCAAACACCAAGAATTTGGTTTTAAGACTGGCCAAGCAAATCTATTTGATGTTCTAATAGGATTAAAGTTAGGATATTCATGGTGCTCTGATCTTAGTATCTAATAATTTATTAAACACCTATATCACACAAATTCTAATAAATTTAAATAATTTGTAATAATTTCACTCTATATGACTGAGAACTTGATATCAGAATGAGTTTGAGTAATGTTCATTAATAAAAAGGTTGTGAATAAAGTTCAAAATAATGCTTGGCTCTGTTTTCTGCATGTAAAACATTCTGTCAAGGGATAAAAATTATGAACCCCAGATGCACACTCACACAAACAAATGCAATGGAGAAATTATTGCCAGCTATGTCTCACATCCATTTCAAGTCACTGCTGATCATGAAAATGACAGCAAGTATGACAGTGAATGGCAGTACTGTGGAAATGATGAGATGTAAAACAGTCTGTTAAAGGAAGCTTTTCCCAAAAGTGCTAATTTTACATATTGGTGCTTTTTTTGGGGAAATGACATCCAATTACACACACACACTCTTCCCTTCCTGTGTGATTTCGATGGTGTAAAAGACGAGGAAAAACACAAGAGAAATAGAGGAGTGAAGGACAAGTGCAGCCTTCCACTTCCTTTTCAACCACGAAATTTGAAGTGTAATACAGCACAGAGCAAGTAGCAGAAAAGATTTTATATGGAGATTTGCTGTTCCTCTGAAGTCTGTTCTACTTTACCTCCTTTAAATCCTTTAAACACTATGCTAATGAAGCCATGGTCTCTGGTTTTGCAAAATAGTTTTACACTATATTTAGGAATGTCAAAAAAAACCCCTAAAATGTTCTCTATCCCACCTGTATCTTTGCAGTGTTCTATTTCTTATCAATGCCCTAAATGGATTGTATATCTCTGTCAAGTTAAAGAGAACATATGACTTGAATTATGTCAAATGTACTTTGACAGAATAACATATACATATAAATAAGTAGTGGTAAAAAACTAATAGAAATAATAAAGATAAATCTGTCATTAGAAAAAGTTAATTGCATATCAATTTATCCTAATCATGAAGGAGGAAGAAGGGGAAGAGGGTAAAACCACTATACAATAAATTGCTCAGATGCTTAGGACCAGAGGGAGACACAGCCAGAACATACAGAACAAGCAGAAGAGTAATTAGGTCACTAAACTGGTAGCTAAGGAGTTCTGAATTATCTGCTCCCCAAACTATTTCAGAGCTTTTTTGCTCCTGAAATTGATCTAATGAGAGTTTAACTTAGGACATAAACTACCCTGAGAGCACCTGGAATAAACTCTATGTCCTTCCCAAATGTCCTTATTACCAGGGAAGGTGAAAGTTTTATGACTTTGGAACAAAATATGCAGACCCTAGAATCAGTACAGCTGATTCTGAAAGTTCTTACGTTCAAACTCTAGGTCATATTGATTAGGATTTTTTTTTTTTTTGTTTTGAGAAAAATTCTGTACAGAAATAATTCTTATATATTAAAAAAATACTTTTCCCTGTAGATTTGTATTGCATACTCTAGTACAGTAAGCTTGTTCAGTACTCTTTACATGGGAGGTGTTTATTTTTTGTACAGTTAAATGTAAACCCATTACTTGTACAGCTGTTGCTAATTGCTGTCCTCCTCCTTCACTTAGAGTGGGTGTTCAAGTGTTCTCTAAAGCTCCTTAGATCTTGAGCCCCTATCCTCCAAAGCCAAAAAATTGCCTTTATATTACAGGTAAGACACGTGCTGCTGCTATGCTAATAGCTTCTCTTACATATTTCAGAGTATACCGGCATATTCCCATCTTAATAACATCAAAGAACAATGTTAGCATCTACAGAATGC